AATGGCCTTAACTGGCAAATGTGCGCAGGTATATGTACTGATGGCACAGCGTGCATGACGGGCTGAGTTAAAGGCTTTGTGACGAAAGCAAGAGAAAAATCCCACCATAAGAGTGACACACTGCATGCTCCACAAGGAGAGTCTTACTGCAAAAACGATGCCCTCTGATCTCACTGAGGTTTTGGATCAAGCGGTCAAAATTGTCAACTACATTAAGTCCCTCCCGCTTAAGACACGACTATTAGGCGCCCTCTGCAGTGAAATGGGATCTGAACATCTGGGTCTCTTATTACACACTGAGGTCCGATGGTTATCAAGGGGTAAAACATTGGCCCGTGTTTATGAACTAAGAGAAGAACTACTGGCTTTTGCTAGTGAGCATGACATTCCTTTTCAAGAGCAGATTAATGATGACTTATGGTGGCTCAAACAAGCTTACCTTTACTTATTTATTTTACAATTTTGACATTTATTGCTAAAACCCATCCCTATGCATTCCTGTCAAAATTAAGGTTTTGCCACAACACTCACTTTTGCAATGTCTTGGAAGTGTAAGCTTTGTAGCGCAGCCTTTGATCAACGGGCACACTTCCTTGAACACTATCGTTTGCGTCACAGCAATTTGTCCACAGCAAGTCCATTGCCTTGTCTTTATGATCATTGCATCTGCACATTTCAATCGGTAAATGCTTTGAAAATTCATTTAACACGGCCACATTCAAATACAGTTCTGCTAAGCGAAAGTCAAGAAGGATGTGTGGCATTCATCTGCCTGAAGTGTGGATTTAAGGAGCCATTCAATGAAAAAGCACTCCTTAGTCATTTAAGATCACATTTAAAAAAACACGAGATGATAGAATGTCCGTTCAGAAATGGTCAATACCGGACTAATATCTATTCTTCATTCAATGCACACAGATGTAGGAGTCATCCAAATGGTGACATCACAGATTTTAAGAATGAGGTTGTGCATACAAACACTGATGGCCAATCAGTGCCAACTGATATGGAATCTGATGAGGGTGATACCCTTCAGAGTACTCCTATGTATAATCCTCCAGAGTCTAGAGATGACAATGGTGCATTGCAAGCCCAGTTGAGGAACAATTTGGCTTCTCTGTTTCTGTTTTATGTATCAGAGATGGCTATACAGAACATAGTTGAAAACTTGTCACACGTATTCTCATTGTCTAAACCTCTAGTGCGAGACTCTATCAAAAGGGTTTTTCAGGAACATGATCAGGCAATTAGTGACTCCCTTCTCCATGAATTAGTGGAAGCTTTGATGAAAAATAATGTTTTTGTCAGTGCCACATCAGATGGTCCAGAGCTGTCCACTGCTAAGCACAGGAAAACATTTGTAAGAATTTACTACCCTCTGGTAATGCCAGTGCAGTATGCTATAGATTCCAGTGGACACACAGCAGTGTATGTGTCAATACTACAGATACTTCAAACAATGTTTAGCAATACTGACATTCTTGAGAAGATTCAACAAAACAAACCATCACCTTCTGGAATGTACACAACTCATGAAGATGGAACATACTTCAAAGAAAATCCAATATTATCAGAAAGTGGAGAGTTGAAACTTTCCCTGATTTTGTGTGTGGATGACGTTGAATTAGCTAATCCTTTAGGCACAGCTAGAAATATAGTAGAAGAAATACAGGTCCAGTCTGCATGTCATTCAGCTAGTTCTGCTATGCAAAGTACCTGATCTGCAGAAATGCGGTTATCAGAGTGTACTTTCACCTTTGTCGAGAGACTTGTGCACTCTTGAGCAGGATGGCGTGTTCATTGAAACTCTTGGCCAGTGTATCAGAGGCACTGTATTGTGTGTGGCAGCGGATAATTTGGCTGCCCATGGTCTTGCAGGCTTTGTCCAGAGTTTCCAAGGAAACTATGTTTGCAGATGCTGTTGCTGTACTACAAGTGATATCCAGTCCAGTGAAGCTTCTGAAGTGGGCTTAAACATGAGAACAAAGGCGCAGAATGCAGAGTGCTGTGCAGGGAGAAAGTGCACCTCACTTTGGTGTTAAATCTGAGTGTGTTCTTAGTGAGGCATTGCAGCATTTTCATCCCATTACTGGTTTCCCACCTGATATACTTCACGATCTTTTTGAGGGCATAGTGCCAGTTGAGTTGGCGCCGTGCATCCATGAGATGATCCGCCATAAATATTTCACCCTGAGTATCTGAATGCACAGATCCGGAGATTTCCATATCAGCATGCTGATATGCTGGATAAACCACACGTGATCCCCAAGAATTTTGCATCTAAACAAAGCATCGGTGGGAATGGGCATGAAAACTGCACTTTGCTGTGGTTATTACCACTCATGGTAGGAAGTAAAGTCCCAGAAGGAGATGATGCCTGGGCCATATTGATGGATCTCAAAGACATTGTGCAACTGGTGTTGTCTCCATCTTTCACAGAGGAGTCCATACAGTACATGCAGACTAAAATTAGGGATCACAGACAAGGTCTTCAGGTTCTCTTTCCAGACTTTAAGCTACGACCCACTCATTATGTGGAGCACTACCAAGAACTGACAAAGCGGTTTTGGCCACTTGTTCACCTATGGACCATGAGGTTTAAAGGGAAACATCGCTTTTTTAAAAGGGTGATACATGACACACATAATTTCAAGAGTGTCTTAAAAACTCTTGCTACAAGGCATCAGCATATGATAGAATATCATTTCAGTGCCTCAACATTTTTCAGACCTGACATTCAAGCTTCTAGTGTTGCCTTCATCCATGTTGACACACTACCTCAAGTGGCAAAAAATTTCATAGAGACAAAGACCAGTAGCCAGAGCATTTACCAGCTCTCCACCAAACCAGTCCTCCCCAGGTCCAGCACGCTACTCTTTTTACAGAGGGGAGAGTGATTAGCCAACCGGTTCCAGGTGTGCCTAATCACCTCTTCTTCTTCTTTTCTATTTTGGCGGATCACAAGCAACTTTTAGGTGCATACCGCCACCTACTGTACATGAGTGTGTAGCATCATTACTTCACATCTATTATATTCTATTCTTTAATTTTGTATTCTTAAGGTAAATAAACAATTCTTTCCTTAATTTATAAATATCTGTTATGTTTCCTTCATTTCCTAATATACCTTTAAGATTCCATTCATGCCCTATACTTCCAACTATTCTCTTTAATTTTTCCCTTTCCAGTTCATATGACTTACAGTTCATCAGTATATGTTCTACATTTTCTTTTTCTCCACATCTCTCACATTTATCACTATTTTCCCTCCCTATTAAATAAAGTATGTCATTTAAGTAGGTATGCCCTATTCTTAATCTACTAATTATTATTTCTTCTCTTCTGTTTCTTTCATTAATGCTTTGAATTCGAACTGACTTTTCCACTTCATATAATCTTCTTCCTTTCTTATCTTCATTCCATATTTTTTGCCATTCCTCCATTTCTTTACTTTTAATAAGTGATTTCCCTTCCCCTTTCCCAAAAGCAATTGAAATTGTTATTTCCCCCTCTAAAGCCCTTTTAGCCAATTGATCTGCCTTTTCATTGCCATTTACTCCTTTATGTGCTGGCACCCAACAAAACCAAACATCAATGCCACCCCTATATAATCTAAATAAAATATGATGAATTTCTAATACCAAATCTTTTCTATTATTTCCTTCTCCCTTAATACTTTCCACTACTGCTTTAGAATCTGTGCACACCACCACCCTGATTGGTCGAATCTCCTCCACCCATTGCAAGCTTAATATAACTGCCACCATTTCTGCTGTAAACACCGACAATTGATCTGATATTCTTTTATAAATACATTTTTTAAACTCTGGAATATATATTCCTATTCCCACATATCCTTTTAGATTCTTAGAACCATCTGTATAAATTTTAAGGTAATTATTATATGTATTTCTTAAATAAATATCAGTCTTTATCCCTATTTCATTTAAATTCCAATCATTTTTCATTGTATTAATTTGCAAATCTACATTAGCCTCTGGTATTAGCCATGGAGGAATAACGCTAATTGGGTTGAATTGAGCCATTTCCTTGTCTTCTAATCCATATTTTTGAATCCATTTCCTAACCATCCATCCAAATCCATTACTTTGGAACTTCACATATTCCCAACAATTTTGTAAAATATTAGAATTCACATGATCATCTATATTACTTTTCATTTTCATTCAATATGCTAGCGCTAATTTAATTCTCCTCATTTCCAGTGGAGTTTCCCCATTTTCAATTAAGAGAGCATTAATAGGTGTTGTTTTTACTGCTCCTGTACATATACGTAAAGCCCTACACTGTAATCTTTCTATTTTTTGTAATGATGTTTTAGCTGCTGCTCCATATATAAAGCTGCCATAATCTATTATTGCTCTCATGAGAGCCCTGTATATGCTTAATAATGACTGTCTATCTGCCCCCCAATTATTTCCAGCCACAGCCTTTAACAGATTAATAACTTTTTTACACTTGGTTTCTATGTTATCTATATGTGTTTTCCATGAGTAAGAACTGTCCAACCATAAACCTAGATATTTATATTCTGTTACTCTTTCTAAAGTCTGTCCATATAATGTTATTGTTTTTATATTAATATTTCTCTTCTTTGTGATAACCATATAACAAGACTTGCTTGCTGATAATTTGAAACCCCATTCATAAGACCATTTTTCTACTTTACTAATTGCTTTTTTAATATTTTCTACCACATGTTTAATATTTTTCCCTTTCATCCATATGGCCCCATCATCTGCATATAGTGCAGATTTTATACATTTATCATTATCATAGAAAATATCATTGATCATAATATTAAATAAAATTGGACTAATTACACTACCTTGAGGTATTCCATTTTCAACATTATATTCATTTGAATAATCATTCCCAATTTTTACTCTTATTTTTCTATCTAGCAGAAAATTAGCTATCCAATTATACATTCTCCCACCTATTCCCATCTGTTTCATTTTTATAAGTAATCCTTCTTTCCATAGTGAGTCATATGCTTTTTCTATGTCAAAGAATACTATAATCATTATTTCCTTCATTTTTAAAGCTTTCTCTATGTCATTACTGACTCTAGTTAGAGCATCCATTGTTGATCTTCCTGTTCTGAATCCACATTGATATCCATTAATTAGATTATTCTTCTCCAGAAAGTATCCTAATCTATTAACTATTATTTTCTCCATCCATTTACCTAAATGAGAAGTAAGAGCAATTGGTCTGAAATTATTTGGACAGGTAGGATCTTTACCTGGCTTATTAAATGGTAAAATTATTGCCCTTTTCCAACTATTTGGTATTGATCCTTCTTTCCATATTTTATTAAATAATTCTAATATTAATTTCAGTGTTACTTCCGGAATCTGTCGAAACATAGCGTAGCATAATTGGTCCTCCCCTGGAGCTGAATATCCTGTCCCTTTCAATACTGTTTTTATTTCTTTCATGGTTATATTCATATCTAATGTTGACATATCTTTTTGACATTTTTCTAGTAAGTTTTTATGCCTTCCAAGTTTTTGAATCATCTGCCTTCTATGAGTATCTGTCAAGTGATCACCATTATGAACAGCCGCAAATGTCTCTCCTAATAACTCTGCCTTATCTTTATTTAAAACCACTACCTCCTGTCCTCTGACTAAGGATGGAATATTAACATTGTTCTTTTTCCCCGTCATTTTTCTAAACATTGACCACACATTCTGTAAATTTATTTCTGAACCTATTGATGAACAATATTCTCTCCACGTTTTCTTTTTTGCATCCTTTATAGTTTTCCGAGCTTTTGCTCTTTTCCTTTTATAATCAATAAGGTTTTCGATTGTTAGATTTTTCTGTAGTATTTTAAATGCTTTATTACGATCTTTAATTGTTTTACTACATTCATTATTCCACCAAGGAACTACTTTCTTCTGACCTTTCACTTTTATTTTTGGTATGCTATAATTTGCAGCATTTAAAACATGTTCTATTATTTGATTTGTACACTCTTCAATATTACCTTTTAATGTTACTATATGTCTTGTTTCCTCACATTTTGTTTTAAATTTAACCCAATCAGCTTTATTAAAGCACCATCTTATTAATGTTAACTCTTCTTGTCTATTTATATTGTCATTAATTATTGTACTCACTGGAAAGTGATCACTCCCTAATGTAGATTCCCCATTTACATCCCATTCACATGCACTAACAAGACAGTCAGATATTAATGTAATATCTAGACATGAAACTGTATTTTTATGTATATTTACTCTTGTACTTTTCCATTATTAAGACAAACTAATGACCTTTCATCCATTAATTCTTCCACTATTTTACCATTATAATCCGTCTTCTTGCTACCCCATAGACTGTTGTGAGCATTAAAATCTCCACACCAAACTTCTCTTCTATGTATTTTCCCTATTTCCTTAAATATTTCATTATCTAGATTTTTACATGGATTATAATAGTTAATGATTTTAATAATTCCATGTTTCCTTAAATTAAATATTTCTATATTCACACATTCTAAGTTTTTATTTAATGAGTTTTTCTTATAAGCGATTCCTTCCTTAATTAAGGTGGCACATCCTCCACCACTACCATTACTTCTATCCTGTCTTTCTATATTATATCCAGGAATTTTAAAATCTAAGTTTGAGTTTAACCATGTTTCTTGTATACATATTACATCTGGTATTACTTCTAATTCATAAA